AGCCACTATAATCGGTTAATGGATGATAACCAAAACTAGTGCTGATCTTGACGAATGCTGTTACGTTTTGTTTTTTGCACTCATTAATGAAAAAGTCATTCTAGCTGCCTAATCTTTTTTTAATTGGATAACCCGCGAAAAACTCTACAAGATTTGCCAAAGCGAGTTTGTTATTGTACCAATAACTTCAGAAGAATCGCCAGTTTGATATGAAAGACTAAAAATTTAGGGCCTTTTCTTTTGACGCTGTTACGCTGCACCATAACTTGATTCTATTGCGCCAGGAAACAAGGGTTTGATCGCAGCTTCTGTTGTGTTGGCAGACCGTTGTATAGCTTCTTCGGCTAATGCTACTGACGTTAATGATTTGACTGTTGTTTCTGACGCAGCAGTATCTGGGAGTGCGCTATCTGGTTCTGTTCGTGTGTCCACTATTTCTATATTTAATAAGCAAGACAAATTATTTTATGATGAAATTGATAAACATTTTAATAATTCAAGTAAAAAATTTCGATTAAAATTACTGTTGCACCAGACCAGCAAGTTTCATGGTAACAGTCACAAACACACAGATACACACTGTATTAATGAAAGAAGTTTGAACAAAAGGGTTTTCTTTCATCGTGATCAAAAGAATAGGATAACACATAAGAAATTATATAGAACATATATAATGAACAATATAGAATAGTGGTTTATGCACTGTTGATATTAGACAGGTCGATTGCCCACTAACGGGAGAGTTCTTGTTTTTGCTTGCTTCATATCTTGATTCAGAGAACATCATACACAGTTCCTTCTACCTTTACAAAAAACAACATCATCAGATAGTATATGCAGAAAGCTTCCGTTTGCTGTATAGGATGTCAACTAAATCTTTTTCCCTGGCGAAAATAAATATATTCTCATATATTATCGTATAAATATACCGAATAAACAGCATTGATACAATATCCCAACGAGCACATAGAAGATCAATAGCGCTTTTAATACCAATCATGTACATGATGAAATGCGATCAGCTGGGCAGGATAAACAAATCGCTTTTCATCGTTGAACTGAGACACCAACTTTAGGTACTAAGTTATGCCTATTGAGACCCTCTCATGTACCGTATTTCATGCCTAGGCGATACCTTGTAAAGGCGATTTTAAGTCATAATGAATTACCCAGATCGACTAAAACTAATCTAGCTTGATAAGAGCAGATTGAATAGAACAAGTGCAGCAAATTCCGAGAAGAATACCAACCATTTATTTCATCTTTATTTCTTTATTTTACCTTTATTTTTTAAAAGTAAATAAATGATCCATTTATCTTTATTTTATAAAAAATAAATCTATTTTCATTTATTTATCTTTATTATTTAAATACAAATGACGAATTTATATTTATCGATTATTATAAATGAACAATAAAACCAAACTAACACCTTCACTTCAGACCATCTATTTTTAGTTTACAAGTGTCCTATAGTTGGTAGGGATGCACCGAGACGGGGTACTCGATACCCGAAACTTTAGTCTCGATTAGTCCCGAGTCTCGAAAGCTTCGGTCTCGAATAGTCTCGAGTCTCGAAAGTTTCGGTCTCGAATAGTCTCGAGTCTCGAGACTTTAGTCTCGATTAGTCCCGAGTCTCGAAAGCTTCGGTCTCGATTAGTCTCGAGTCTCGATATAAAAGTGCCGGTAGCAAAACTTTCCGAGACTTTTTCTAGACTATTTTTTTTTGTTCTGCATAGAAGATTTCTTTGGTGAAATATGTACTGGACGTAATGTCGAAAGACTTTTTTTGTAGCAGATATTTTGTACGGTAACTTTTTTGATACTTTTAATCACTAAAAGTGAAAACTTCATGTAGCGTATAAAGTTAGGTAACCAAGCGTTACTTATTTTAGTTTTCCCAGAATAATTCAGTTAAAATGAAATAAAAGAGCATATCACTATCGTCGTAGTTATTCGGACTAGCACAGAATTGTTGAGGATTTTTCAGTACATTAACAATCCGGGTTTTATATTGTATAGAAGATGCATTCGATTTTCTGAAGTATCGATTTTGTAGAGAGGAAAATATCTTTAAGAATTTTCTATAAAAATTTCTCAAGCTATTGCCTGATTTTCCATAAAATCGCCCAGTTTCTGAAAAATTAACAGG